TTGCCCCCTACTTCCCACTGCAGTCAAAGCCCAAAAAGAACTCTGCATACAGCATCAGAAAAAGCTACGTAAGCGTGCACAAATGTATTAAGGACCCTAATTTAGGAGAAATCAGATGTAACCCCAGATCATTCTTTAAAAGCTGTTACTTTTCTGGCATTTAACATTAACATGTACAATCAGGGTTAAAAAAAAAAAAATTGTATCATGCTGTATTATATAATCATTCCTAAAAAGTTAATGCTAACCAGAGATATAGTAATGGAATTGAAAGCACTTGACATTTATACTTGTGCTAACCAACTACAGCGTTAAAACAGCTGCAAAAGGGAACCTGCCAGAAAGTGAATGCCAGGGGGGAGGAGAAAACCAAAACCTCCTTCCCCAGTAAAGTTTAACATAGTAAGGACAGGGAGCTCTACATAAGTAGAAATTTTAAGACTGCAATTTCTGGTCACTACTCTAGAATTTCTTGACTGCAGACAAAAAAAAGTTTAAACTGTAAGTGTAATTTTATTTTAGACTCATTCAAAGAGCCTCGAGGAAATAAGAAAGGAACAAACCTGGATAACATACAGACCCTTTCTGGTACACAGCTTTCCATTTTGCCACCTCCAAATTAGTAAAGGAATTTAAATTTGCACTGACTAGAAACAAAACATGTAACACCGAAGACAGACGTGTTCTTTGTGACCTGTTCATGTACACATTACTGAACTCTAAGTTTCCTGCACTCCAATGCTTTGCTAAAGCTGGTAAAATGGAACCAAATCACCTCTTCAATGGATTTGGTCCCCTTCAACCAGCTGTAGCTATGCATTGATCACTACAGGATTTATCATATTTTTAAAACCGGACACTAAGTCCGCTGAGAGGAATTATGCGGTCCTCTCTGAGGTTGAGTTCGGTTATTCTAGGCAGCTTGAAGATGGAAGGTAACAAGGAGTATGGCAAATTCTGTATTCCAAAATTTCAAGTCTGTATTTGTAAATAAACAGCTACTGTTTTTTTATATTGTGCTGAAAATTGATCTTTTACAGCATGAATAAAGATAGGTAAACAGTAAAATAAACACATTTTCCAATGATTCACTGTCTCTTGTATTTTACCTCAAGTCCATTGCCCTTTGTAGCAGAACTGACCGAAAACCACTGATCAAAAGGAAGCAATCACGAACAGTATTGGTAATAGAGGGCAGGTCTACTTTCTGCGCACCCCTCTTCTCCTTCCAACCCCCTCTTTTTTTTTTTATTAATTGCACAAGGGAGGAAACTCCACAGGGTAGGAACTGTATTTGCCACCTTGTACAAGCTGGGCATATTATTTACTATTTAAAGGTAATAAATTTGTCACTGGCCCCAAGAGCTACAGGCTAATCTGCCATCTAATTATAGGTCTGCTCATTAAAATTATATTCTTTCTTCAAACCAACTTGAACAAAAGTATTCTTTCAGAGCATTTTCTGACATAAACACTTGATTAAGAGGTTTTAGGAGCCTGTTTTTCTTGCACTCAGCTTCAACCTACACCTACTGTATGAAGTGCAAATATGAAGCAAAACAAAAAAAAAATCACTTTTTCTGGTTTAGAAAGTAAGTGCACAACTCTGATCACCACACAACTTGTCTCTGTGAGGACCCCCACGACAAAACGGCACAAAAGGCAAGACACTTATTAACACTACATACAGATGAGAAACCCCACCTCTCAAATATATTGCTAAAACCAGTTAAAATTCCACTGCCAAGTTCAAACCACCTGCAAGACTGAAAATGAGGAGAACTACACTAAAGACAAACGTGGGGGAAAAGTACAATTCCATTTTAAACCACAATCTCCTACTTGCTATTTTGTAAGCATAAACATGAAGTACTCCTTGCTACTGGACAGCAATGTGTGAAGTCTGCATCTCACTCCAGTATCTTATTTTTTGGATTTAAAGTCCAGCAGAATGTATTGCTCTGAAGAAGTAGTCGTACGCATGAGCAAAGTCAGGTCAGCTCTAAAAGCAGCCTCTGTTTAAGATGTTACCTGCAGCGTGAATAAAGCTCTCTTCACAAGATACAATGCAAATCTAAAGCTAACTGGGGCAACGGATATAAAATACGCCTACACTTCACAGTCATGTCTTCAGATCAAAAATCTGAAGTCACAGGTATGCGAACAGATCAAACATAACCAAGAGTTGATAACATGGAAAAAATAACCCATCTGTACAGTATTCTCAAATTTTACTCTCCTTTTTTCTGTCTCAAAAAGCTCATTAACACTGAAAAGGCAGAGTCTGCCAAGCTTTGAGGTTTGCAACACTTAGGAAGTCCAAAATAAATCCACTTTTAATATGACTGACTCAGTTAAAAATCACAAACAAGAAACCATGTATTCAAGTCTTAACTTCCCCACACTTAATCTCGAATTTCATTTTGGCTCTACCTCCTGAGCACAAGTTCACAGCTACCTGTAACATAAACTGAGTAACATCCCATCTACATTTCAGCAATATACATTAGCATGAAAACAAAAAGTTTTGTTTCTATACCAATTCACAAGGTGTGAATTGAAACGAATTATTAAAAGGAGAAGTAGTCTGCTAATAATAGGATGCTCCCCAAAACACACTGTACCTTTATTCCTGGAAAACACTGCCACGCTGTCAAAGATTAAGTGCTGAGAAATATCTAAGCTATTTCACGTCAATTGCTGTCTTTCACGTAATATTCATATAACATTTAAATTTTTACAATAAAATATAAATATTGATTTTCATACAAAGTATTAAAAAACTTTCAAATGTTCTCTTCAGCACAGTTTGTGTGCCTTTTTTTTTCCTTGGAGATCTCTCTCCCTACTGTTAAAGGTCAGAACTCCAGCAAGAAGCAGAATAGGTTTTCCACTGAAAATTAAATTGGTCCTAAATACCTATTTTATATCAAGTGTAAAAAATTTGATAGAACTCCAGTTCACTTTATTGTAGTATCCATACAATTAACACATTTTATTTCCAGTAACTAGAAATATGGATGTGGGCTTTAACAATACTTACATATAGAGTATTTCATTTTTATAATTGTAGATATATACACACACGCATATACATCTTCATATGTGTTTAACTTTTATAAGTAACATTTACTTACATATTTATATATTTGACCTTAAGGGGAATTTAGTGCACTGTATTCTGTATAAGGCACCACAGCTTGAAGCCACAAAAGCTCCAGTTTAGGTGGAGCAGGAAAACTTGGATTAGGAAAGACAGGCCCTTAGGTAAGGTCTAAAGATGAATATATTATGTACCGCTTGTGACCCATACCAGCTACAAGCTAAAGTTCAGGTGGTTATTTTTAACAGTGTTTTAAATAGCCTGTGCTTAGTGCACTTAACAGATTAGTAATATCCATTGTTCTACATCGGATTATAAAAACAAAGCGGCAAATATAAAACCTTTGGTTCCATTCAGAAAGAGGCCAGCAGTAGAACTACAGAACCAACAATGAATTAAGTGGCTGTCACTAAAATCTTAACGAAAATAAAACTTAACTCCTAAATGAATCCAATTATTATAATGAATTTTGGCCAGGACAAAAAAATAATCATAATAGATTTCTTTTGGTTTCGTTTTCATTAATTTTTTTATTTTCATTAATTTCTAATGCTCTGAACAAATGAAATTACTACTTGTATACTGGAGGCAAGATTCTGTTTTTTACATGCTTCAGAAGTGCTCAGATATAACTACAACAAAAAAGTAGGTACCTAACAGCTTTAGAAATTTAACTGTTCTAGTGGCAAGTGAAAACCCGTGTATGGAGGGGACTGGCACAGGGTTCAAATCACTAACACTGGAAAATTTACCCTACTCCTCCAGCAAAAGCTTTTGTAAAGGAGAGGGAACTTTCTGAAAAATTGCACTATGCCTCACATTCTGCCAACTGTCAAACTGACCCAGTCTGAACTACGATCTCAATCCCTCCATCAAAGAAAAAGCCTGCAGCTCCTAAAACATTTCTCCACAGAAAAATCTTCAGCATCCCTATGAAGAGCTTTTTTTCCACATACACTTTCCCTGCCTCTCATACCGAGATCAGGAGCACACAAACGAACTACCAACAAGAGCCTAAGGAAAGCGCTGCAGAACAAAACACAAACAAAACATACGCCATCAGGAAACAGCCCTCCTGGCTCATGCTTTCAGTCAGTTCTCTGTATTTACACAAAGTGTATAAGTTACCAAGTCAGATTTGAAAGAATTGTCTCCTAAATGCTGAAAATAAGTTCCCTTCACTAGGTCCTTGGCATGTTCTCTTACAGACCTTTTACAAGCATTGTAGAAAACTGTAAACACATTTATTGCTCCTATCAACACTTCCAACCACTACTTTTACTTTGTGACGGGTGATTCCATTCCATGTATGTATACAAATGCTATCTGTCTTGATAGCATGTCTCTTGTTTTAAGAGACTACCCCAGATTTTGTTCCCATACTTTAAATACAGCCTTATTTGTCCAATTTCACTCAACTGAAAAGTAGCAGAATTTAGTGAAGTTTAACAATACACACATTTATTTCATGTAAACTATACCAAATTCTCCACTACACAATTAACATGTTACAGAATTCTTGCTAGATTGACAGCTCTGAAGACTACCTTTATCCACAACATAAGCAACCAGCAACGCAGCAAGTTCTCCATAGCGTTCCATCTATGCAATACAGTTTTTGAAAACTATCTTTACTGAAGACTGAACGTTCATCAGCAAAACTTTATAGACACCATATGATATTTCCCAGGCATTCAGAGTTACATGAATACAGCATTAAACTGCACAGAGCTGTATCTTCATGCTAATAATGGCTTCCCAAGTGCTGGAAAGATTCATACCTAAGCAACATTAAAATTTAAGAAATATAATTACATGCATGCTTAAGGATCTTTCAGAAGAATACCATAATTCTACCCTCCCATGTACCTATCTTCCTTTAGCACATGATAAAATAATACAAGCAAGTCTTTACCTAGGGTTTCCTCTTAGCGCAGCGTGGTGAAGAGCATTAAACCCATTGTTGTTGGTGATAGTAACATCTGCTCCAGCTTCTAACAATACAGCAAGGATGTCATCACGCTTTTTACTTATTGCATCATGAAGTGGAGTGTCACCCTCAGAATCCTAAAACCAGAAACAGCTTACATCAATTTTTGCACGCATCCACATTAAAGAAAAAAAAATAAAGGCTAAAGTATCACAAGGAAAACTGACTACACACCCACAGACGACTTCTTCAGACTTTAAAGTGGTGTTATACTGCAGAGTTCAGAGCAAGCTGCTTCTGATCTTGCTCTGGTTTTACAAACGCAGTGGGTAATCCTACCCAGGACTCCAGTCTTACACTGATACCAGAACTCCAACCCTGAGCGCAAGCATGCCTTGCACCTGATCGTACTGAAGACGCTGGTGTAGACATCAGCTTCTCCATGTCTCACACCCAGATGGAGTTGATGCCCAAGTTACAATTTATGAGTAATAGAAGAACAGCAAGAAAAACTAACACAACAGAGAGGAGGTTAGTCAGGCAAGAGGAGGCAGGAAATTTTGAGTAATGAACACTGAGATTGAGCCAGCAATTAAGCATGTAAAAGACAATACCAAAAAGAGAGTGTGCAATAAAAGCATGAGCAAATCAAGAAATGCAGTCCAAGTAATCAGCTGAGGCACTTCTGTTGTTTCAACTGAAGCAGATCATTTTCCGTGAAGCAAAGGCCGATGTCATAAGCAGTATTAAACATTTAAAGTTGTTATGGCTAATACCAGATTACATTACACAAGGTACAGGAAAATATTTCAGTGCATAATTGAACAGGCAAAGAATTTATATTTTTAGCTTGACATTTTATTTGTCAAATATCCCAAATAAGGGAAAAATACTTTTTATTCCTAGAAGCATTTTGTACATTACTTATTCAAGGACACAAATGGCTGAGCTGAAAAGGAATGTCCTGGACCAACTGTGAGAAAACACATCCATTTAAGCTTATTTGCTGCTATACAGGCAAACTCTTTAGATTTATGCTTCCAATAAATTCTAACACCATGTGAGTCAGGAAGTTTTTTGTTACTGACAGTGACTCAACTGCGAAGTGACTAACACAGAAACCAAACCTCTTAGCAATACACTAATATGAAAACAAATCTTTACAATCTTTACAGCGAGAATCAAAAACTGCCAAACAAGAAGTGCCAGAAAATGGAACCACTTGAACCAGTGTGAAGCAGTTTGCCAAAACTAAATTATGAAGCTTTTATTCGGTTTAATTGATCGTATTTCCTGAATTTACTGTTTACAGACTAACATACGTTTCTTTTTACACAGTGAGTTGGCTTGAGTAGTAGAGTGCTGGCCAGTAAAATTCCAGTCATGCCTCAGTCTGACGCCCCTGTGCTCTCATCCACCAAATCAATTGCCTGTGCACATTTGCACACCAGAGTTCCTCAGCACGCACGCAGGATATGAAAGTCCATTATTTTCAGTGACAATTATGTATTTCAGATGGAGTCTCACAGCACCATTCTGCTGCTTTTTTTCACTCCAGACAGACTTCTATGGAGTCAGACACATTCATTTTGGCTACACATGTATCACACATTATTGTATGATACATAGTCACCTCTTTTGGGCTCAGACTCATTATATCTACTGTGTGACAGATACTAAATAGGGTCTGGATGGATGTTAGCTGGCTAACAGCTAGACCTCAGCAAGAGCAAGGCAATACCTATAAAGCCACATGGAAGCAGATAAATAACCAATCACTATATTCACTAATTATAAGAAAGTTTTCTAATCTTTTGCTATGTGGATACACAGCTTCAGAGAAATCACCGATTACTGACATGGCAAAACAAGGAGGTCAATGTGTTATTACTACGTATCTTCATTTGCCCACGATGTTACAACTCTTATTCTGTTGCAAACCTCTTCAAAATTACCCATTCTGGTTTTACTCATGCACTGCATTCAGATCACGCAGAATGTGGATGCCTGCTTATTTGATAGCAGATTTCTACTCCACCTTCTCAACAGGAGTTTGCACTCATAAATCACAGCTTCCACCACACTCCCTGTGAAATTACGGTACTTGAGGCCCTATGCATGAGGGCTTTTTAGATAAAAGGATGAAGATTTAAAAAAGAATCTGGCTAAATATTTGTTTCAGTGATAGGTCAGTTCTGAAAAAAGGTTTCTCTTAACAAAATACTCCAGTGTCATCAGCCAAAAAATGCAAAGCTGTAGCTTGCAGAAGGAGCTGTGGATTTAACAGACAAGGAATTAATCTGGAGACAAAGTTAATAATTATAGGTAACTACAGCCTGTGAAAATACTGATTAACATCAACTGGCTAGAATAAATCAGGTGCCTATATAGCTGTCAAGACAAATAGATTTCACAGCATTTTTATTACAGCTGATCACACGTGGGGTCAGAAGCCGGGATATATAACTTCACAGGGTCTGCTCCTTTCAACCCCATTTTCCGTAATTCTTCTATCACCTACATGCAAGCAAATCATAAAATTCAGTAGCTAAAAAGTGAATCTGCATTAATATTTTCTTTACCTGGAGACTAGGGTGGCAGCCAAAGTCCAGTAAAGTCTTCACGACTTGCAGATGGCCTTTGTTGACAGCAATATGAAGCGGAGTCTGCCTGCGTTTGTTGCGAGCATTCAGATCTGCACTGCCTCGGTGCAAAACCTCTATCACCGCACCCTCGTCACCGAAGGCTGCGTGATGGACGGCCCTGTCTCCATCCTTATCCTAAAGCAGAAATATTAATTTGAACCAATATATTCCATGTTTCCTATGCATTTAAAAAAGAAATTTAAACTGAATAATTAAACATATTTGAGTTCTTTAAAGAGAAAGAAAAATTAGACAACCGTGACACCATTCAAATATCTAATTAAAATAGCTGCTCAATCCACAGCAAGAGGATGAAGAGTCTGTTCATACAAAAACATACGCCTTCTATGATATATGATTCTATATTCTATACTGTATAAACTATTGCCCTCAATCTTTGTGTGATGTGTTCATCAGATTCTCAGACACCTTCATTTGGGTTTCTACTACAAAACAACCACTGTCAAAAAAAAAAAAAAACCAAAACCAACCACCCCACACCAGAAAATCCACAAACAAAATCCAACCCCCTAAACCCCAAGAATGTTACACTCAGTAACCTGTAACGCAGGATGCGTTACAGATTTCAAACATGGTATAAGACAAGAGAATTGCCTTGTTCACATAATAAAGCTAATATTAATTAGGGCTTATTACATGAATCTTAGTTTTCAGTTAAAAAACCTTTTCCAAAGGAAATTTGTGAATGATGCTGAAATTAATTATTAGTTCTGATTTTGTGATGATGATTCACAACACTAAAGCTCTGATTAAATTAAGTTTGTTTCAGTTTCATCCAAACTGAGAATTAAGGTATAAAAGTCATAAAATAACCCAAACTGATAGATTTAACATCCATAAGAGTAGACTATACTACATGAAACATTTAAAAATATTAAGTGATTTTGAACATTAATGACAGTATACAAAAGCTCCAAGTAAAATGGAGTGGATAAAGCAGGTTTCCATGAAATAATAAGTTCCATAAGCTAGTTTCTAACTAAATTTTTTGTGTACAGTGGAATATTGCTATGAATTTGTAGGATTTAATTTTGACAATATACTGAAAATTGTAGGGAGGAGATAAAATCAGGACTATTCAAGGGCGACTGGATGTCTCTCCTTGGTAAGCTTCGTTTCTCTTACCAATTTGCTTCTCCTTCAGCAATGTATTTCTAATTTTTATTATATGTAACACATTTCTAGTATATTTTACATCAATGCAAAAATGTATAGCTCTTGACATAAACTGTATTTGCACAACTGCAAGATAATGAGACTAGTAACAGCATTTAAAAACCAATGGAAAGACTTATCTGGTAATTATCAAATACACCTTTTTGGAAATATGAATAGTTTTCAAAACGGTCAGCGCTCTAAACAACACAGCTTCAACAGCTTTTCAAAACAAAACATTTTTATAACTTCCAAATCAACTCATGCTACAAAATTGTCTTTTAAGATAGCAGGATTCCTTCTCAGGCCCATTAACATAAACCAGCAGTCGAAAGAAGCCAAAGCTTGCCCATTTGGAAGGGGAAAGGATCAGAAAGGGGAACCTTCTCTGTACTTCTCATCTGGTTATGAAGATCATTATGAGGTTAAACTTATCAGGAGTGTGACAGTAGTATTAAACTGCTACAACAATTGTATTTACAGAGCCCTTTGTTTCACAGGTATGCGATCATTTGTCTAGTCTGCAAAGTACACAAACATAGTTACTGATGAAACCCCATATAGCTTATTGAATATCTTCCAATATGAACATATTTCAATTTCGAGATGCAATTATAACGCTATTCATGTAAAGAATTCCTACTTGAACGAGCAGAGGTCCAAGAAAACTCAGGATCAAAACAAATGTCAGGAACTAAATCCCACTGTGTAGTTTCTACACAATAGCCTATTAATATACCTAGAAAAAAGCTAAGAACTAATTAAGTATCCATCCTAAGATTTATATTTAGATATACTGAAAGCACTGTATGTCTATACATGCCAACAGTATAAAAGTCAGTACCACCAATATAGTAATTAACACCCATTAATTTCTGCAGACTAGAAGGTTAGATATTTTTACTATGTAATATCTACATCAGGCTTTTTGAGCTCTGTCAGTAACAAACTGTTTTCTGACTAAACAGAGACAACTTACACTCTCCATAAAGCTGTCAGAGACATAAGCACAGCGGGGAGACAACAATGAGGGCATCCCCAGAAAATGTCATCATGAATGTATATACTCTGCAGCAGTGACTGTAAACGTAAATATATCCAACTTAGCTATAAAGCAGGCAAAGGAAGGATTTCTATCCACTGTTTTCATGCCACAGACCACAACAGTGAAGTAAAAAGGACTAATTTTTGCTCTTTGCATAATGGGATGGCTCTGCTGCATCTTCACATCACTAATTTATAGACAGCTGACATTTTTTAAAGCCTGAAACATACAATCATTAACCTAATTATACTATATATATGATTAATGTTGTAATAATTGATACAATTGTATAATTAATCTTCACTTAAGCAACTCAAAGTTAACATGGAAAAGGTTTGAAAATTCAAATAAAATCCCTGGAAATATTTTTTTAACGTTAACATGACTACTTCCAAAGCCTGAGCAAACAACCCTGCTGCTAGCTGATTACCAGGTGTATTACCCTGAAGCTGAATTGCTTCTACTTCCCTCTCTAATGCTTCTAACCCTTCCTCATACCAGAGAAGAAAGTATCTGCCCATCACTTTGCACAGCACCTTTGATCCCACACCACAAGTGAAGAGGCTTAGCCAAGTTTGTAATAGTATGGCTATGGACTGCAGTGAAAGCTCCACTTCTAAAGTGAAGCAACTTCACAGAAACCAGACCACAGCAAGTACGTACTGCATCAAATACAAGCCATCTTTACCATTTGGCAGAAAACCTTTATGAAGTAATGGTGTATCTGTGAATATCAAAATAATTTTACTTCCAAGGATTACATCATCGCTTCATCAACGTATGAACATATTATAACTTCTGTATATCAAATACAATATAAAGCTAAATGCCCAAGCATTTGAAGTTATTTTCCTGTTATGTAAACAATGACTGGGCACAAAAGTAACTTCTAAGCATTCTATTAGGCTTTAATTTACATTCATAAGAAAAATTTGACACATCCTTCTTGCGCTTTCCAAGAGCAAAACGCCAGTATCACAGTATGCTGTGATAGGTAATTTTCTCACCAACAATAATTCTAAAAAAACTAAACAAGAAGAAATCCTTCCATTTGGGGTGAAGAAAACCAAAACAACCCCACACTGAAAAACTGGAAGCAGAGTTGGCTGTTCCTACCCAGAGATGTTGTTATTCCTTTCTGCTCAAACTCGCTGTAGTTAACAGAAAGCTTTCACCTAAGAGAACACTGTAGGTAAGAAGCACAGCAAGTATCTGCAGTTGGAGATGGAGCATCCAACATCATCTTCTCTGACTGCCACAGGCTGCGTGCTAACCTACTGCATTCTACTCCACCCTTGAAGAAAATAAAGAAGGGGTTTCCCTCAATTACAATCACAAACTAACTTACAGAGCTCAATTATGTTAGCATTCTATTTCACTTAGAGGTACTAAAGAACCCGATATTGGCTCTGTGTAATACTGTTAGCAGGAGGCTAATTTGGGAACACAGTCACAGTAAGAAAAGCAGGTTTTCACTCACTCTACATTTAAAAAGAAGGCAACTCCAACAGAACTGTTATTTCTGTATGTAGCAAAGTTTAAAACTTAAGGAGACACAAAGTGTACTTTGAAGTATTGAGGTTACCTCCGCTTCTACATCCACATTCTGTTTCAGAAGCAACTTCAAGATGTCGACATGGCCGTTCTGACTAGCGGCTTGCATAGCTGTGTGCCCAGCACACTGTCCGTTCACCTGGAAGCATACCAATACTTTGAGACAAGCTGCAGGATACACACACACACACCCGGGAGCCACTGCAGTGGTGTACATGCAAGTGTACTAGAAAATTTAAATCAACAGCACACATATGGAAGTATCAAATGAACAATTTTTAAATAGCTGCCTTTCTGGCTCATACAGAGGATGATCTCCACTTCTACAGCATTACCTAGATTGAAGGAAAGATGCAGGAGATGGATTTATTTCAAAAATCAACACAATGATAGCTGGATTAAAAGCTTTCACCTTTGGGCTACTGTAAAGGCAAGATTTTGAGAACAGGTGTCAATGATACAAGTCCTCTGCTCTATAGTATATTTAACTTCATTTTCTAATTTATGGCAACAACAGGAGTTAGCCTGAACCAAATGCCGTGTTTTGTACAATCTTGAGCTACAAGTAAATCCTTACAACTAATGGAGTTTAGTCATTTATCTGCAAGAATTACTACTCCTGTAGCAAGGAAAGCATCTGATTGTGATTATCAAACATGTTCCCTGAACCAAGTCCTATGATTCTTAAGCATTTTCTTTTAGACTTTTCATTACTAGGTGATTAGACAAGTTGGTAAAAGGAATCTGAGGGATAGCAGACTAGATGATCTACCCCTAAGTTAAAAAAAAAAAGCAACCAACAACAACAGCAGCAATAATCCCCCTCCAAAGAAAGGAAGTTGAAAACCCTTCCCTAATTTTGAGTATTTGGGTCTGTGCCTCACTCTGGCAAACTGAGGCTGGAAGGTATTTTAATTAATGACACACAATAGAACACAAGATCTGTCCAGCAAAAGAGGGTGTAAAACACTATTTCCACACACCCCTCAATAAATTTCATAGTACAACAAATGAGAGAAGAGACACTGAAACCCACTGTACTACTTCTACAAACACAAGCTGGTGACTGGCAAGGAGCATCCAGGACAGCTTCACTTCCTTTAGTATTACAGGTCCCCAGAACAGGCCCTCCCAAAACAGAACACTCACATCTACATCTGGTCTCTTTAGCAGGTCTTCCACTTTAGCAACATCTCCATTGGCAGCAGCTTTAACCAGTTCTTCATTGAGATCTCCAGATTCTTGGGTTTCAAATAACTTCTTCAATAGCTGGGACAATCTCTCTATAATTATTAAAAAAGGACAATTAAGCTTACAATTCTAATCACACAAGAACAGAAAAATAACAGCTAAATGTGTCATGTCCTAAAAGCAAGTACATAGTAATACACAAACCACCGTAAAAGGCAGCTGTTATTATTCAGTTCTGAGTAAGTGCTGCACCCCAATACCCTTTAGATAGTTGAGACATCACATCAGACACTTCAAAACAAAGCTGGCTGAACCACAAATGTGTAGTTTTATGGCCACTGTGTGACTTTATCTTTATTGCAGAAAACTCGCTGCATCTATGCCTCCCTAAGAAAAACTCTAGAAAACTATGTAGAAAGGTTCTTGGCATTAAAGCAAGTATGTGAAGAGGAAAAAACAACTAGCTATGACCAAAAACAGGAAAAACATCTAGTTTAATTGATCTGTGAAATAACCAACAGAATATAACACACATTGGACATTCTGCCCCGTTACTCGAATGAGAGTAGATTCAACAGAAACCAAGTGTGAGTACATAGCCCCCCAAAAAGTCCCACTGTAAATAGTCAATGTATGTATGACTAAATTTTAAGAGAGAACTTTTACGGAAAAACATTATCCCCGAGCCCATGCTCACAACAGATTCCTTGCTGATGCTTCTTGTCCCAGACCACCTAATCAAGGAGTACGCTTGCTGCAGCCAGTGACACTCCCTTCATGCCTCAGCCTCCATTCCAATGCCCCCCTCCAGTCATTTCAAGTCCTTGGAGCTGACCTTCAAAGACAAACCTGCACTGTGGCCAAACAGAAACCTGAATTTGATACAGAGGTTTTGCACCTTATTAAGACAACAACATCTCCATACCAACTGCAAGCTTTTTCTTCCATCTTTCTCTAAGGTACAATATCAATCACAGAATGGTTTGGGTTGGAAGGGACCTTAAAGATCATCTAGTTCCAACCCCCTGCCATGGGCAGGGACACCTTCCACTAGACCAGGTTGCCAAAACCTCATCCAGCCTGGCCTTGAACACTTCCAGGGATGGAGCATCCACAGCTTCTCTGGGCAACCTGTTCCAGTGCTTCACCACCCACTATCAGCCAAATCCTAACTCTGAGCATTATTAATCTTGCATACAAACTACATACTAGTAATTATTAATATTTTTTAATTAACACAAATACTTGCCACACTGGTTATTCTAACCATTACTGGTTATTCTTCAAACTTACCACCAGATGCATTACTTATAGCAGATCCTGCCGATGCCACCTTCGAGACAGCTGCCGGATTATACGTCCAAGATGTCCCACAGACCTCTACCTTTAAGTCGCTGTCTGAATAGATCTGCTGGACCCGACCAACTTTACCCAAAGTCTGCATTAAAGAACACGTGAAATGCAAATAATACTAAAAATGAAATATTTAGCAATCTAAATGTCACAAATTTCATTGAATCAGTTGTTTAATAATAGAGTCACTAATATCTTTAGCTAGGTTTAATCAGGCTAAGTTTAATCTGATCAAGCATTACACTGCGTTTGATGAAATTCACTTTAACTTAAAAGAAAATCCCTTTGACTCCCACACTCTCCAATTGTTATTACCAATCATAACTAGAAATATTATACCAGCTTTACCATTCTATGAATCCAAACATGCAACTACTTACCGGAAGCATTGCCTCAGCCCATTCTCCGTGACCTCTCTGAAGAAGTTTGATTCGCTCTAAGTCATAACATACTTGAACAAGGTCACCCACTTGAAATTGAGAGGTACCTCCTTCTGCACCTTGAGCAGCATCTCCACTTCGGACAACATTGGCTTTGGTGAGAACTGCTGGATTAAACGTCCATCTAGGCAATGAATCATTTAAAGTAGATTTAAAACATGCAACGTGAAATATATCTTTAAAAAGTATCTGTTGGACAATATTATTCTTGTATGGCTACAAACTTTCTGAAATCAATTACTATGGCATATTTGTTGACAACCATTTTTTGCCCACAAACTCATGCGTGGCTCACTAGTTGAATATTTAGATGTACATTTTTAGACCAATGAAGAAATACCCTGCTTAAAGGGAAGCCAGACAACAATATAATAGTCATGAAAGTATACAGTTTGTTTATGTCTCTAGGGAGAGGAGAAAACAACTCTGGTTGAAAAGGGGAAGATCCAAGCTGTTCCAGAAAAGTTTGGACTGTTAGGACACAACAAGTGAAGAACATGGGATTTTGCTCCCCTCCCTCTCAAGTCATAAGCTGCAACATTCAGTTACAAAACTACTCTTCCACTAAATGCATGTCCTAGATACACCTCAATTTTTAACCAAACAATCCTAATTCATACTATAAATTTTACTGGTTTAGAGGCATTTAGCTGTTCTTATGCTGAGCTATATACTCATATAGAATCACAGAATCATAGAATGGTTTGGGTTGGAAGGGACCTTAAAGACCATCTAGTTCCAACCCCCCTGCCATGGGCAGGGACACCTTCCACTAGACCAGGTTGCTCAAAGCCTCATTCAGCCTGGCGGCCTTGAACACTTCCAGGTATGGGGCATCCACAGCTTCTCTGGGCAACCTGTTCTAGGGTCTCACCACCCTCTCCATGAAGAACTTCTTCCTGATATCTCATCTAACCCTCCCCGTTATCAATCAAACCCCGCTCCCCCTTGTCCTGTCACTACAGGCCCTTGTAAAAAGTCCCCCCCAGCTTCCTTGTAGCCCCTTCAGGTACTGGAAGGTGCTATAAGGTCTCCCCGGAGCCTTCTCTTTTCTAGGCTGAACAAGCCCAATCCTCTCAGCCTTTCCTCATAAGAGAAATAATATGGCAATCTCTCCTTTATGTGCCATTTGGGCTGGGAATTGACTTTTATTCAGACATCTGATCTATCTGAGAAGCATCAGGTAATATCTATAAAGGTCAAAGTCTCGAAGGAAACCACAAGGTACAGCAGCTTCTCTCACTGGCTCTGCACCCATGACTGTCAGAAGAAGTGCTACTTGCATCCCTTCAGCTTGTGTTAGCTGGGAAAGCAGCTTTGATGTCCATTACTTTGCAATATTGCACAAACAATATCTTGAGGGAAAGCCTGAATGTTAATCCTTCCTGGACAAATTGTTCAGTTGTAGCTGGAAACTGACATGACATTCCATTCATCAGCTGCTTTTAAAAGATAAACCCAATACTTGAGAGCAAGACAACACAAAACTATGTGGACACGTCAGCTCAGATCCAGCTGCAGAGCTGGGTTTGAATCCTGTTATGGCATGGATGAAGCTCAAGCTTCAAACCTAAACTGTTTGCAGGGTACAGTTCTGGCAACAGCTTTCCCAAAATGTCCCATTCTCAGTCCATATTTACATAAACATCCCTTTTAAATAAGGAAATGCTAGATATAGATGATGCCAAGGTCACTCAATATTAGACAAGATCCCCACCATAAAAGTTTGTCACCTAACCTCTTAACCATTTCCCTGAAAACCCGTGAAGCATTGCTATTACCATTCCCCTTGAAACCATGGGGTTTAAAAATAAATTACTGTTCAAAACACTACGTTTTGGAAGTAAGATACTTAAGAATGTGTCATTCCTTATTCTGGACTCAAATTTTCATCAAGTGAGAGAGGCAACAAACTTTCTTTTCCCATTAAAACATCTTTAAAAGGAAGTCGCCATTACACACTGTAGAAGGAATATAAAAAAAATCCTCTAGAAGTAGTTTAATAGACACAAAAGGGGAACACAAAGTTTCTGGCACCAAGAGATCACAAGTGCTAAAGGCAAAAGTAGTTTGCAAGAATCGATACAACAAACCTGTTGCCACTTGGATATTGTACTACAATGTCATGATCCTCGTCGATGCCACAGACTGTTCCAGTTGTTGTTAAAGTTTCAAACATGCCATCAGTCCATCCTCCATGACCATGCTGCAAAGACTGCACAATTTCCAAATCAAGGTCAATGTTTACAAGGTCGCCTATTTGCAGCCCACCAGGGTTTCTGTTACCATTTTGCTCACCTGAAATGGAATAAGACAACACGTGACCTCACTCATTTCCATGCAATTTAAAGAATAGAAGTTAGTTTCTGAGACTCGATGTATCTGCAACTGTAGCGGCCAATAGCTAAAAGGGAGCGAAGGGGTAAAAAGCAACTCTTGAACCTCTGGTTATGGAATTGTGTGTTTCTTGTTGAGTTTTCAAGGCAAACACCAATGACACTGGTAATGATAAATAGTGACAGGCGTCACTACGGGCTGGACAGGCCCTGGAATGACAGGCTCCACTATGGGCTCTAACTGGGATGGTAACAGCTATCATATGTTGTAAGACATCTGGATGCATAAAAGCTCTGATAAATTTTTAGAGTCATACAGAAAGTGCCATCCATCTATTCACTCAGGGGATGAAAGATGAGTAGAATGTCTACAGAAAGTGGTTTTGACGTGGGTCAGTCCTGGAATGTGGAGAAAGCACTGGCAGAAGAATACCTCCAAAATGACCAACAGTGAACATCTTTAACCTTGTAAGTGTGAAGATGACTACAAACCAGCCCCTGCAGATTTAAAATTAAAACATTTTCCCTGGACAATGCCTGCTTTCAAAAGACATGTCACAGCAAAACTTCATTAGCTGGAGGGAAATGGCATACATTCAGGCCAGGCTGGATGAGGCTTTGAGCAACCTGGTCCAGTGGAAGGTGTCCCTGCCCATGGCAGGGGGGGTGGAACTAGATGGTCTTTTAGGTCCCTTCCAACTCAAACCATTCTATGGTTCACACACATCAAGCTATGTTTTTAGCAAGTTATTTGCGATGGCGGCACAGTGCTGCCTCATTCAGTTTGGTTTTCAGTGCAACACCCAGGTCTTCTTCAGCAAGACTCTTTACCCAGGCTTTCACAATTCCCAGTCTTGGAATTACTGCTACATAGGCTTATTCCAACCAGAGTGTAAAACTCTGATTGAACACCATGAAGTCTCCATTCACCAAATTCTTTTCTTCCTCAAGGCTCTTCTGAATAAAACCTTACTTCCAACCACACCCCTCTGCCAACTTGCTATCCCCTGCAAATTGTGAGGGACTGCATCCTGTTTCATCATCATGGTCACTGATGCAGTACTGAACAAAGTCAGCCCCAGCATTCTGCCCCAACTCCACTACTCCGCACTACTTAGGCCCTGGTGCCCTATTATTTGCACTCTACTTTCAACATCGCAAAGCTCCAAAAATAACTTCCTAGTTTTTAATGCAAGCATACACCGAAATTCACAGCATGAACATATTTGTGAACTACGCTCAGAAGACAGAGGAAGAGATGTTCTAACGAAGAGTAAGGCTGAGAAGATGGGGGATAACATGGTAAGAACGAACCAAGCTCACAGTCATAATTTAAGAACTACTTAATATAATGGAAGGGGGGAAAATTTGACAAAGAATAGTCTAACAGTCTCTTATTACCTTTAGTGATTAATATTCATGCATTCAATACAATATCACCCTAAAAAAGTAGCTACACACAGAAAACAGAGCTGCACTTTTAATGCAAGAACAAAAATGAATAAAGGGCACGCATAAGAACCTAGGTCTACATGTGTAGTAAAGAACCAGTAAGATCCTATTACTATTTTTATTCACATCAGACTAAAAATGACAAAATTAATTTTAAGTACAGTAGCAAGATACAAAGATCAGCGTGCCTTGGCTTTTCACTTTCAAACAATTCATCTACTTGACAGTAAACACATAAGTGACTTCTTGGACAGCTGTTTGGACAAAACAGACCTTCGCTGCTTTCACCTTTTCACCAATGTTGTCCATAAAAGAACAATGCTTGCAGCTCATACTTCAAGTACTTGTGAAAGGAATTAGATTAAGATTAGTAAATAGAGAAGTCTCATCACTTTAGATAAGACAGTATTATCAGCCAAGTTTTTTATGCCTCGAAGTATATTAAGAAACTCAAGAAAAGCAAAATTTTCTTGAGTGTCCAGTTTTATGATCAGGTGTTTCGCCAAGAAAAAAACCACAATAATTAAGAAATTTGTGTCCAGTAATCTATAAAATTCATCCCAACTTGCCTAAATTTCAAAAAAACAAAACAACTGGCAATTTTTTTTTATCATAAGCTCAGCACATGTCTACAGCCCAGTCAAGACAGAGGACTAAGTCAATCCAACAGCTCATATGGAAAACCTCAACCTAGAATTCAAAACACATATTAGTATAAAATAACAAGTTAGGATGTGTGTTTGAATGACTCCTGTTTGTGACCATGTACATGCTACTTCACATCTCTGAATATTTAAGACAATCTTATAAGAATGTACAGCTATGCTTGGCTCTGTAGAAATACAGTGCACAAGACTTGTGGCCCTCAGTTTATTACTTAGTCAACACATAACAGCTCTCTCGCCATCCATTTGGCTCACTGACAGCAAAGTCATTTAAAAAAGCATTACTATTTATTATTAAAGCCTAGAAATACTGCCATTCACATTTCACTACTAAGGACAGTCCTTTTAGATGACATTTAAAGAGAAATCCACATATAATTAACACACATCAAGATAAATTTACTTAATCTTCAACTCACCTAACACAGGACAATGGTCCCTGTAGAAAGAGCCTCCTTTTGCATCTTGGACACATTTCAGGTCAGACTACAGACAGAAATTGAGACAACTTTAGACCACACTGAGTCTCTGGGTTAACATAAGTCAGTGACAACCAGAGCTGAAATACATTCAAGAAAAGCTGACAGTTTTATGTACAAAAAACCACCATGCTCCATGAATGTTACTAATGTGTATAATCTCAAATACTTTCCAATCTCAGCCTTGACATTGTCAAAATTTTAACAAACTTTACCAATATGAAAGTCTATAAAGGATGAGATTTTTAACTCAAAGCTCCTTTGCACTGCTCTATAAAGTTAGTTTTCCTTCTAAAAAAAACCAAGCAATAAAAATAAAAAATACATCTGCAAACAGTGCTTGATGCCACAGCCTTTGCTATACTGATCATTTAATGCCTGCCAGCACTGCCCCCTCTACCCAGCCCTTTTTGATAGATACAGAGGATAAAACTTGATATCCAAATTCTACAAAATGAGGAATTTCTGATTAAGAATATACAGAACACTTTAAAACAAAACAAAACACTATGCTGAGCTAAACATGATCTTTTTAAAGGGGAAAGTTCTAAAGCTCATCCTCCAGAAAGACTCTATTTCATATGATCTCAGAAACATAAGTTTCAACATGATAACCATCTCCTATTCATTAAGCCAACAGAGTTCCTATAATTCCCCTTTCCTCTGTTTTTTTCCCCCTGTATAAGCCTTGAAGTTGAATGCCTACCATCTGCCACTGCTTCTTACGGAACAATTCTCACAAAACAAAGGGCATTTTGTGCACACCATGACTTGGGAAGGAGAGAGGAAACTGTTCACAAAATGTGTTAGAATATTCTATGAGATGGGGGAGCAAGCAGAGGACAGAGGGTGGTTATGATATAATCAACCAGAACTAAACAAACACTTTAACAATTATTTTTCCCACACCCAATATTTATTGATAGAGTCTGTTCCTACAACAGAGGATTAAACTGAAAAGGTCTTAAGTCTTCCAAATCATCTAAGCACCCAGAAACAATACAAGATTCAGTGTATATCCTGATCTACAAAGAATGTACTGCCACTTTTTGAAAGAGTGATGAAAACAGCCACATGAAAATAAGAAGATTTAGCCACTCTTCAAATCCTATGAGAAGTAAGAGACAGAGGGCTCGTTCAGCTCCACAGCAGCAGGCCTGCGACAAAATGCTGCCACCTGACGGGCAGGTGCTGGGTTTCATTTGGCCGAAGACAAAGGGGCTGTGCTGACCATTCCAGATGGCAAGCTCATTTATTCCCCAGGCCCAACAGAGACTTAATGTGCCCAGCAGCACTTGGTCTCACCCACTGAATACAAACTCTTCGTGCCATGCACCAACCAGCTGTCTGCACAGGGGTCAAGGAGGGGTGTACAAGCAAGAACTGTTTTCACATCCTTCACAGCATTAATATTAGAGTGCAGGAGAGTCTTAAACAGTTCTCCTTCCAGTTAGGTAAAACAGGGGTGATGCCTCCGTTACAGCAAGTGTCCATGTGCAGAGCAGACTGATGACTAAAGTCTAGCAGAAGTCAAAATATTCAGTTAAAGGCTAATTACTATCTTGTAGCAGAAGTTATTAGGAAACAGGTTGAGATACCTTAAATTTTATAGGAAAACACACCCCAACTGCAGAAACTACAAATATGCACTCACTTTTTACCCTGGTCTGTACCATGCCCTGTGCATAGTTTATTTCTAGGTATAATGATATACTTTGTTCTAAAACTAAGTGGTAGCTTGATGTTCAACCTCAGGTTCACATCTGTCTTCCTTTCACTTATATGATGAAGCCAATGTTAGATTGCTAAGGAGTAAAACAAGAGTCTGATCTAAGCATCACGGAAAAGCAAGGCAACATCTTCATTTTTATTGCACATAAGCCTTCACCAAAAAACTAAGGATGCAAACTGCATAAAAAGATGAATGACTCAGCAGTTAAGGCAATACAGAACTAATGTGTATATACAGCAAAAAGTTCCTTCTGCAACTTCAAAGAAAGGTAACATCAACATGATAAAAGGCCTGCAAATGTCTTAAAAAACATAACCAAATGAAAAGAAATCCTAGAGTTTTAAGATAGGAAACTGTACTTAGTTGCACTGAAGTACCATGAAAGCTGGGTAAGCAACTCAAAAATCTGCTTTAGCACTCGGGTATTATATTTATCAAAGAAGGAAAAAACCCTAAATTGGGCAGGAGAAAGCTTAAGTAAAAATATCAGGGGTAGTGTTAAGCTCCTGGTCATCCATCCCTGGGGACTGTGTGGCAAGAGGCCCCCCCCTAGTGAGGATGGAGCACAATAGCACGTGAAGCCTGGCCACAGGCATGGCTGCTGCCAGCTCTCCTTGCCTGGCCAACTGCCATCTGAAATAGCAGATCGTTTGGAGGGGAGATGCACAAGTGCCAAAGGGAATGTACCAAACCACAAGGCAGGTTAAAAATGCAAGTTTTAGACTCACGGTGACACTGTGCACAGGGGAAGTAACAGCTCTGAGGCTGGGTGTAAAGATGTGGTGGAGACAAACACACAAAACAAAACATAAGCTTTTACACACTAACTTGACAGAGAAATAATTCTGATGATGATTCTTTCAAGAGACAGAAAAACAAGCTGTAGATTTTGCAGAATTTGTACATAGTTGAGAAGAGATGGAAGCCCTAGTTAAGCAGGAAATCATTACAGCGAAGACTGCGGGAACAGCATGAGCCCAGCACACGGCACAGCAGGACTCTCAGATCCATTGTAACAGCTGATACACACCAGCAGCGGGTAATAGTGGGTTTTGCCTGCAGTGGAGAACCTTGGGTCTTCTAGCATCTCCTTTCTGGCTTGTTGAAAAACTCTTTGCACTGACTGGATTAGATAAAGATCATGATCCATTGAGACAAATGGGAAATGCAGAAAGTTAGTTTACTTTAACTCAGCATCCAATTACACCACTGAAAAACCAGCAGCATTTTCATAGCCCTAAAAACCTCATAGAATGACAAAATGTACAGCAGTGTCAGTAGTGTTAGCGGGTGGTGTAAAAGTGCCATCATCCCTGACCTTGAAAAGGAAAACAATGCTGAAGGTTCAATATGGAATGCCATCAAAACAAGGGAGGGGAGTTTACAGACTTGATAAGGAAATTCGGTGTGCTGCTAAGAAAAAGAACACTTGATCCAGAGATGCACCTAACACCAGCAGTAAATGCCAGGAGAGAAATTAAGACTGATCTTGCAGATGTACCATTAGGAATGGCACAGCTGCAGGTGTCTGAGGTAGCAACCCATATACCCTTTAAAGGTTACTTAAGGCTTCAACTCACAACAGCTTTTGGCAAGGAATACACCCTTCCAGGGCAAATGGAGAAAGCTCAGTGTGTGCTGCTTTGTGACCTGACAACACGGGATTGGATAAATTCACAAATTTCAGCTAAAAGTTAATAAAAATGCTATATTTCAAATGTAATGAACTCAAACTATGTTCAGTTTCAGGAAGCTGAGAGGCAATAAAACAAGAAAGTAGAAGATGTAAGAGGAATTGACTGAAATTATAAAGATGTGTGAGTTACAAAAACAATAGCAACAGCTTCTTACAAAAGAAATCAGACCAGGCAAATCCTGAGTGAACAGTTTATAGCCTTACCGTCTATTGTTTAATGGAACTTATACATGCTTTCCACATGTAGCTTTTTTTTTTTTTTAAGAGGATCCAGAGGAGGTCACGAAGATGCTCAGAGGGCTGGAGCACCTCTGCTATGGGCTTGTTCAGCCTGGAGAAGAGAAGGCTCCAGGGAGACCTTATAGTACCTTCCAGTACCTGAAGGCGCTACAAGGAAGCTGGGGGGGACTTTTTACAAGGGCCTGTAGTGACAGGACGAGGGGTAATGGGTTTAAATTGAAAGTGGGGAGGTTTAGATTGGATATCAGGAAGAAGTTCTTCACGGAGAGGGTGGTGAGGCCCTGGAACAGGTTGCCCAGAGAAGCTGTGGATGTCCCATCCCTGGAAGTGTCCAAGGCCAGGCTGGATGAGGCTTTGAGCAACCTGGTCTAGTGGAAGGTGTCCCTGCCCATGGCAGGGGGGTTGGAACTGGATGGTCTTTAAGGTCCCTTCCAACCCAAACCATTCTGTGATCATTTCAGCGTTTTCCTTGTGGGTTAAAACTCTAAATAACAACACTGGAAAAGGATTAGTAAGTACATTTCTGTTTAACAGAAAAATGTTTCTAAGCAACTCAGATATGACAAAGTTGGTTCAGTTGAGACTCCAGGAGAAATGTAGAGAAATAAGCCTATGCAAACAAGAAGGGAAAAAGTCTGCTGACAAATGCAAATAAATGTACAAGATATGCATATATATCTCCTTCCTCTCTGGATTCCAACTAACCACCTGACTTTGGCTGCACTGTGAGCAACGTAATTAAAATCAGTTGCTGCTTGTGCAAAGGCAGCCAAAATTCATGTTTGTGTTTTAAATCAGTTTTGATCAGCACCCAGAAGCAACAGAAGGACACTAAACTCGTAATGAAAATTCTTGTTCCTCCTTCCTAAACCTCTCATTTTGAACATACTGGGGACAAGATAAAGGGCTAGAGAGCTGAAGATCTAACAGTTGTAACTGCACCAGAAAGCAGATTTCCATATATATTTAAACACTCACCCGCAATGCCTACTAAATGCCAAGGCATTTACTTTGGTTTTATTGTTAAAAAGTTAGTCATCCTTAAAATCCTCCGGAGTAATTTAAAGGATTATCTTTAAGGGTAACCCAAACACGTGCTGATATACAGACATTGGGAATCTGTCAGGGTAAGAAATTTTAAAGTAACATCAAAAATGCAAGGACAAGGAAATCATCTCAGTTTCCCTTATGCTCGCAACTATTCAGCACACGGGGAAAAAAGTACACAAACACAGATGGCTTACAGATTACTGTGACAATGATGGATGATAACCCTAGTTACTACTTTAAGAGGCTGCACAGACAAAAGGAAGATCCTCCATAACGAAAAAACAAGAAAAGGAGGTTAATAACAGCGAAGAAATCTGATAGGACAAAACCCACTCCTAAAAAATGAAACTGAGGGCACTCCTGCTGGTGGAAGTATTTTCTCAAGTTTTTATAGCAAAACCATTCTATCAGTCCATTCTATCAGTAAGTAGCAGAATATAATGTTTATTGAAAACCAGTGGAAGTTACCAGCTTTACATCCTCAACTGTGTGATATGAAGAAATAAAAACTAGAAACAAGTCCAAAAGTCTTAAGCACAATCTTTGCATTAAATCTCTAATTCCACATAGTGTATGCTTTTATTGCCAAAGGCCATGTTCACACATTTCTAAAGCAGCCTGGTCTGGCTCTGGACTCTGAATACACGTAAGTATGAAATGCAAGCAAGTGTCAATAGCCGTATTAGCCAACAGTACTTTATTCCTTCTACAGCTGTAGCAAACGTGTTATTCACCAGAACAGTATTATACATTTCTACTGGGGACTGTGGCAGCAGAAACTCCCAGATTCAAATCCTGGGCTTCCCAAAGAACGCCCAGATGCACCTCTGTCAATCACTTCATACGTAAACACAACAGCAGCAAACTCTAATAAAAACTCTAAGCATCTGACAACAAATAAATGCAAGTTTTCAGCCAGCACCTGCTGCTCCACCAGCCAATCCTTGTCTCTCCCAAGGAAAAGCTGGCAGGCCAGATAGATTAATTTTGAGGACCAGATGCAGCCTGTCAGCTATCAAACAAGCAATCCTGACTTACAATAATGAGCTGTGTTTCTTTAATCAGCTCCATTTACATCTGGGTCAAGTACTATTCATTTGCAAGTAGGGGTTTCTTCCCAGCTGTATTTACAGGGGCACACACTAAGTATTGTTGATTCTACATTCTCTGGATGTTCTTAACCAATTTCTAAGTCTCAAGACAAGTTTGCCCCAACTTTATATGAGCTTCTCACAGTCTATTAGTCAGCTTTACATAACAGCATGTAAAAAGTACTAAATAGTCATAATGAATTGTACACTTCGAAAGCAATTAACCAGTTAGGGAAAGTAGCTTTAGATTCAAATGACTATTTGTCACAGAATCCAAAAACTGCATTTGATACAAGTCTCCAACAAAGATAAAACTATTTTAAGAATGGATTATAATCAGGTAAACACTCCGCATCAAGCGTCAAATTAATCTTTTTATACATATGTATTTACTTATATTATTTCTAGATGCATATACGTAGTTTCACAAACACTTTAACAGGGTTTTTTTGTTAATTGACGGGTTTATTTGTATAAATCTTGTGGGAAAGGTCAACCTTATCCATTCAAATTTACAGTTGCAGGAGTTAATCAAGTATTCTAGAAATATTTTAACACCTTCTCATGTGGTAATAGCTTGGCAACATAATACAGTTGATTTAAAAATAATAAATATCTTTTTATTAAGGGAACAACTATTTAGAACAGAATATAACTTATCTTCAATGTATTTTTTCTGAGGTCACAAGGAATATTTAATGATTTCCTCAGCACTCCATCCACAGGTTTTAACACAGTAAGTGAAATCACAACAAAAAAATCAGTTCATCTGTACCTCATTCTATCTAGATTTTGTAATTGTACTCCTCTTTCGATGATAATCAAATATGAGGGAAGGTACCAACCATTGTTTTAATGATAATGTATTACATAATACTACATATAACTTACTTTCTGTTTTGCTAGCATATAACTATTTTCTTTAGAACTGGGGGAGACCGTGAAGGACATAATTCAGTACTGACTTAGCATCTTCATGCATCAGAAAAGCTAACCTGCAGTAGACGTTTACTCTTTTAAACCTGACACTAACACATGTATTTACTGCAAAAGTTATATTTAGCATTTATTTTTTATTAGAAAAATGAACTTTATTTCAAGTAATACCATCAAGCAAAACAGTTTACTTTCAAAAAGAGACTAGTCAAAATACAGACAAGTCATTTTTTAACATTTTATTACTGATACACAGCTGGCAAGATGACACTTCAATGTTAAGTTAACATGGTTTTCCTATGCAGTATCAAACTAAAGTGATGCAAAGAAAATGCTAATTAAGATGTTATAAAGCAGTTGATAATCTTGAGTAACCTTTCCCTGACCCACATCAGGATAAGAAAAACCCAGCAACAGAAGGCACTTAGGCTAGAGTCTGACCCATTTTCATTCTACAGCTGTAGAGTAGCTGTAGAAGCTAGGAAGTAAAAAAAAAACAAAAAACCAATGCTAAAGCAAATCTATGTCATAACTTAATTCAGCACCTTTCATTGACAAAAAAAATTTGCTCAAGAGGATTCTGAGTGTTGTCAGTAATTGAAAGACTACAAATCTTGCAATAATCACACCAAAAGTTGAAGTGAACCAAAGAGTTCAGGAGTTAAAGAAACAGGGTCTTTAAAAAGTTCATGACTAAGCATCTTCTTCTTTTCTGAACTTTAATTTAATCACAACAGTAGCACATTATGATGATAATAATATATGTACTACACTCTGGCAGAAACTAGCCCTTAACTAAAGTTATTCACATGTTTTATAAATTCCCAGATCAGACTTTCTTCCTAATACATATGCATGATCCATACAGCTGTATTCACAATGACCTGACTAACAGCATGCAAACTGACAAAAGGATGTTACAAAAGCAGGATAATAAGGCACAACAAGTTATTCTTACAACCCCTTCCCCCAACCATGCATTTTACCATTTGTGCTCTTTCATACTTACCATGCCCTCAAAGCCAACTCTGTAAAGGTTTTTAGCGCCGTTGTCCCAAAGAACATATGCTGCGCTATGTGGACTTGACGCACTCCAATCTTGGATTTCAGTTACCTATTCAGATTTAAACATAAGAAAATTGTTTCTAGAACAAAGACTTAGAAGCACAATTTGAACTTAAAACCTTATTCATCTCTCCATAATGATGCAGGCTACAGCCGTTTTACTGATTTTAAAAGGAATTATTCTGAAGCTGTTTGCTGTTTGATAGAAGTATTCCCTAGGTGTCTTAATACGACAGCAGCCTGGATTTGTACTTTGTTGGCCTGTTTTTCTTTTGTGTATTTGGTAGGTTATCTAACTATGTAAGCAGAGAACAAAATCTGAAGAGCAAAAATGTATTATACGATGCTCTGACATGTTCTTACTAAAAGCAGCATTTAACTAGGAAGCACAGGACGAAAGCTATTTTAATGGCTTCAGTTTGTCATGTTTAACCTGTATTAGCCTGGTGGCAGTGCGCTATGTTAGGAGACAAAGTTTTATTTTCAGAAACAATTCCTTTAACAACAGTACAAAAGGAGAGTGAAAAGGATTTTCCTTGATGTTTCCAAAATGATGAGGCCATGCACCAACTTCTGAAAACACTTCCATTACCAAAAAACACCAACAATATCAATTTTCACAATTTGCCTTCATTCTTGTGTTCATTTAAAAGCTGCTGCTTCTATCTACCATCTGCTTTTCCTTGTTAAAAACACTCCTATGCATATTTTCAGCTTGCAAATAATCTCACTAATTCAAGTTTAGCATTGAGTCTTATTCTGCATCTTCTGCTTTATTTTGCAAAGTTTCAGAGATTTCAAAACATCTTGCCAAATTCACTGCAAGGGGTGAATTTTCATCTTTTTTATGCTTTTCATCTAACCAAGATGAAAACCACTGCATCTGAACATTCCTTAAAGGGCTTTAAATTTATGATTTCCTCTTAATAAAATCTGAAATTAAACCCCCAAAGTCCTAAAGCTTCCATAAACGTCTAGGACATAAAATAGGCTAAATATCTGATTCAGGAACTTTTCACTTTCTTTTAAACACTGCTTAAATGTACTAAAAATTATTGCAACAAAAAACCCTAGTTCACCAAGATATAAGGGTATACAAATCTCCTTCTAGAACTTGTCACATCTGGTGATAAATGTCACAGTACATTTTGCAGCCCCTGCTCTATCTTCTTCCTTATAACAAATCTTCATTAGTTCAAGGTAAACGTAAGTTGTAAACAGAAAATTGGGAAAGGTTATGACTAGCAACATATCATTCTATGCAATTTTCAATAAATCCAAATATTTTTATTATACAACTATATCAAAAACTGTCCTAAGCCAGGAATATACTATCCAGATCCAATACCCACAGAGTTCTTAATATTAAACTGGAAAAGTCCCTATGTTTATCAGTTGAAAAACAGAAATCCAGGGTGCAAGCACTGAAAAGCAAGAGATACCCAAAGCGATAAGGCTACAGAACACAGCAATGACCACAAAGGGCTACCTTGAGAGCTCTGTTTTTACAACAGCTCTCTAGTAAAACAGAAATATGCCCAAGATCATCTTCTTGTTACAAGCCAGTCTTAAACAAGAACAACAAACAAAAATTTAGTAGTTTAAAAAAAAAAAACTGTGCTAGTGTTTTAAAAATGTAAATTTAAAAGAACTGGTTACAGTACAGATTCCCTCCTCTTTCTAAATGCTTGAGCATTAGAGAGTAAGATTTAAAAATGTCCATCAAATTAAAATAGTACCTTTAATGAGGATACTTTTACTCTACAATTAGAAAGGCCACTGAGGCCATTACCTGAGCATGCAGATATGCATCATCTTATCTGAACCAGTTTTATTTTTACCTTTCCCCTACGCCCATTGCCACCATCTTGGTCTTCCCATTGCCAGTCAACTCCTCGCACCACCCTGGCACCTGCAAAGATTCCTCTTGCTGTAATTTTCTTTGATTTACGGCGAGACTCCAACAATACCCTGCGGTTAGTAAAAGAAGAACCCACAAATGTCAAGATAAAGGAAGTCCAAAATCAATCTTTGGGGATAGACAGGAAGGAAGAACAGCATCTTGAAACAAAGATAATCCTACAAACGCAGATTTTGATGCATGAATCGCATCCATTCATTTCTCAACTTGAACAGCAGCCCACAAGATAAAAATACATGATCTGCCTAAATTTAGTTTATTGCAAGGTTATAATTAGTTTTTGATTCTGATGATCACTTTGTCTCCAAACTTCCTACTGTCAGCAATAATCCTGTAATCACTTACATATAGATCTGTACTCATATTATTAAAATCATTAAAGAAACATACATATAAAAAAAGATTTCTATTTCTCTTGAATGCACCCTAGGCCAATATTATGGTCAAGAGGTCCTGCAATTGCCCTGCTGTTTTCATTCAGAATCACGCTATTAAGTAAAAGATCTGTCTTTCCCTTCCAGGTCCAAGTTTATTTTCTACATCTTTCTTACAGCGTATCTTGGCAAGTTTAATTCAACATATCAGCATCCATTTTTTCAGTCAGAGTACGTTCTCTTTCTACCACAAACCTCTTCCTTCCCTCTGACTTCCTCAGAATTGAAGTAGATAAGCCCAAAGAGAACAGTTCATGAGTACAAATTACAAACAGAAACAGAGATAAACATTTTCCTGCCTTTTCAGCCATCTTCAAAGCCATCAGTCTGCATGCAACCAGTTCTCTTACTTCACGCCCGGAAAATGTTGCCAGGCAAAAGTATTTTTCAGCTGAAATTCTGAATGTTTCCTGACCTCTTCAGGAAGTATATCAACCTCCTGCTAAACTTTTAACATCCAGCAGATGGCAGACAAAGAAAAAGTTAAACTGCTAGAATCAATGGAAAGAGCACATGAAGCTATTATACATTTTTCTCTCAGTAGTGAGAGAAAACAAAAACATGTTGCTTGCAGCAGCATTTTAGAAAGATCTCGACATCTACAAAACCAGACAGAAACCAACATACACTCCTCTGGCATCCTGCCCATATGATAGAATCATGGAATCACAGAATGGTTTGGGTTGGAAGGGACCCTAAAGACCATCTAGTTCCAACCCCCCTGCCATGGGCAGGGACACCTTCCACTAGACCAGGTTGCTCAAAGCCACATCCAGCCTGGCCTTGAAGACAGCAAAAGTCTATGATATCTATATAGTCTATCATATCCTATGATACCCCAGACTCAAGAATAAAACAGGTAAACCTAAGCTTTCCTTTATCTAAACATCCTTAGATGTGTCTTGCTGTTTTCTCCTGAGATATTCCTCATATTCAATAGTGTTTTCCCTCAAACAGTTAAATCGGCTTTTCTCACTAAGCTTGATCCAACAGAAACAGCTTCTTGGCAGATGAAGATGCCTTCTAGATAAGAGTTGCAAAACAGAGCTCAATGGGAGTAAACAAAGATAGGGAGAAAGCAACAAGATGCAAGTGTCCTGCAACTCAATACATTGCATACAATCTATCTCCAAAACTAAAACTTATGCTTTATACACCAGAACGAACCACTTAAAACTACAAAGGAAACTTCAGATTAAAAAAAAAAAAAAATTCTGGCAAGGATTCTCAAAAGCAATGAGATTTTTAAATAGAGAGATTTGTATTTTGTTACCTGTTTTCTATTAATTACACTAAGCCAGCACTTTCTACTTTTGGATACAACTTCTAAGTCTTGTTCTGCATTAAACATTGTAACTGAGACACTAAGATTATGATATCTACTTGGTACCAAGTTCCACCGGCAGGAAACTCAAAAATACACAATATACCTTGTGATTAAGCCACTGACCTGGGCATTTGAGCCATAGTTAAACTTCAAGGCAAGCATGTGAGAAAATAAATACAGTCCCTACAAGACACAATATGAGAACTCAGCTTGTGTGCTCCAACCATCTCCCTTAACTCTAAGAGCTCTGATAAAAGCACATCACTGAATTACAACGTATTTGTAAACCTACCTTCTCCAAGAAGAGGAAATAAAAGTTGTCTTACACACATTGCATTTAACTGAATGTCATATCTAACAAAATTAAGCTTTCAATGGTGTAATGAAAGCACATTCTGGAGAGTTATCAGAGGTGATACCACAACATGTAGTCTTCACACAATGCTTTAAAATGTAGCTCTAAAGCTTTCAGTAACAGGCACATATCACTTCTCACTTAATCAGTAGATAAATCATGACAAAGAGGGGCACTGGATTTAGACAACTCATTTCAAGTCAAGCACACAAAACCAGCTATGAGAGAACATGCTAAATGCTAATCTTCTCCAGAGTTCTTCGCTGGGAGACTCAAAGAACATAAAAACCAAGGCAAGGGTAGAACAAGCCTTCACCGTGCCTTTTCTCTGCTTTCTGTAGTGAACAGTTTAAGCAGTCCAAGTCAGACTTTTGTCTCCAGATCATTATGTTGTTCTTAGCCCACAAGAAGGGTATTTACCATTCCTGAAATTTAATTAAATTTTCATACTGAGGAATTCACTGACAAATCATTTTGTGATTATATGCTGTGTAAGGTCAACTGCCTGCTTTAAACCTGCTATATGAAAACACAAGAACGAGGAAGACTGCAATGAGGTGAAAGGAACAAACAATCACATCCTACCTTCTTTCTCTAGTCCACTTTCTAAAATTTCCACATATTCCAAAGAGATGTCCTATCTACACTCCCTCATAAGGAGGCGGAACCAGTAACATAATCTGCACTTCAAGCCACTATCTTAACTAACCCAAGTTTCAACAACCAGTTATGAAAGTTAACCACAATTAACTGCTCCTACTTCATTTCATGGCAGAAGATTTAATTTTTACCTTTCGCTTCCTGGTGTGGTAATTCTATAAAAACGATGCCTCAAGTGATGCTTGTCCCCATGATAGCAAACTGTGCACAAGTCATAATTTGTGCATTCAGCACATTTCCATCGGATGCCAATGATGGGTTGCTGTCGACAAGTATCACACATAGTCCCATCGTGCTTGATACCTGTGGGGGGAAAAAAAAGAAGAAAGACTAACAACATTGCTACATCACTACGCAGATTCCTGTTGCGCACCACTACCATTTGAAACCATACACAATTAAACAATAGAAAAAGGCTGTTAGTGACGCCCTATGAGCCTACATGAATGAGGGGAAAAGATCACAGACTTTGCCTCCTATCTCCAGTTGTCAGCCTGTTCCTGAAACACTATCTTTTCTCAGCTCTCAAATTTCATGAGCTATGTTTGGGTTTTTCTGTCTTACAAGTCAGAGTATCCTAGGAGAAAGAAAATGAGGAATTCTTTAGCTACAAGTTAGAGTGTCAGAAATGCGTATATCTAAATAGACAGGCAATCTGGAATTTCATGTCTGGATTAAGGCTACCAACACACCTTATAGCACAAAGGCAACTGTGTGCAGCAGTTTGAAAATCACTGGTTTGACTTACACATTTTGTACAGTGGAAGAGATAAGCATTTATCTCCATTCTTTTTTTATATAGGAAAAAAATTAAGCTCTCTTGGATAGATGCCATTAGCTGCATGAAAATCTGTTACCACTGCTGCAGTGTTTTACTGTTTTCTATGTTGGTTTTTTTTCCCAAAAAAAGCGTGCCAGAGACAGACCAGATCTAACCCACCAGCATGTGCTCTGCCCAGCCTTCCACAAAACCCAAGTTCTCTTACTCACTCCTACAGCTTTTCCAAGCCTCAGCACAGTGAAAGTGATCAGTTACAGTTTCCATCCACGCACTCTGAATACAGCCACAGGTTTATGAAAAAAGGAAATTTAAAAAAAAAAATCAAATTCTGCTGCTGTTGGAAAAAACTGAGCAGTAGAAGAGAGAAGCATCAGATTTCAGTCTGTTGCACAAGATAAAAATGAGCACTGAAAGACTGGAGTAACACAGAATTTTCAATCACACCATTAAAAAAAAACCCCAAAACCACAATGACACTGAAATTAGTAAGGAAAAAGGATGGAGTTTTGTCCCCTCCAGGAGGGATGTTATTAGAAGTGACTGCCAAATTCACTATAAACCTTTTAGTCATTTGTGCCCAACAGCTGAGCCACATGCAGTGAGAAAAAATCAGCAGTTGGAGAGGCAAAACGAAGGAAATGCCTTTGTGTCTGATCACTTCACAGAATCACGTAATAGCTGAGGTTGGAAGTAACCTCTGGAGATTGTCTGCTCCAGCCACCACTGCTCAAAGGTAAACCAGAGCCGGCTGCCCAGGACTGTATGCAGCCAGGTTTTGAGCACCTCAAAGAACGCAGACTCTGCAACATCTGGGCAGCTTCTTACAGTCTTCAGCTGCCCCCACAGAAAAATATTTCTTCATATGCCTAAGTGCAAATTCCTGTATTTCAGGAACTGGTGCGCCCACTGCCTCCTGTCCTGTCACCTTACATCACTGAAAAAAGCCTGGCTCTATTCTCTTTATAACCTCCATCAGGTATTTATATGCACTGTTAAGAACCCCCTGAGCCTTCTCTTGTCCAGGCTAAACACGACCAGATCCCTCAGCCTTCCCTCACACCAGATGCCTTAAAATGCATTTGCAGCCCTTTCACTTGACATGCTTAGTATGCCCATGTGTCTCGTGCACTGGGGAGCCCAGAACTGGACCAGTACTCCAGGTGTGGCCTCACCAGTGCTGAGTGGAGGAGATGGATCTGTTGGCATCACTCTTCCTAAAGCAGCCCAGGATACCACTCATGGTCACTTGGTTGTCCACAGAGACTCCTAGGTCCTTCCCTGCAAACCTGCCTTCCAGCCAGTTGTCCCCAGTTCGCACCAGTTATTCTTCCCCCAGTGCCAAGACTCATCCTTTCCCTTTTTTGAATTACATGAGATTCCTGGTGGCTCATTTCTCCAGCCTGTCAAGGTCCCTTTGAATGTCAGCAAAATAATCTCACGTATCACTTCTCCTAACCTAAGACACTCTATCCTCTTCCAACCTTGACTATGAATGTATTTAGGAAGGTTTCTGGCCTCATGATTAAAGATTTTCCTGATGTATGAACATTGGAATAAATATTTAATTAAGGCTGGAAAAAGCAACACATTTGAGGCAAACACTGCATGTAGCACCAGAAATATGAACACCTCTTCAGGACAGCCAAAGAGCCTTCAGTGACAGCAAAACCCCTGAAACTGCTAATTTTCTACCACTGTAATTGATCAGTGCATCTGTACCTAGACCACAAAGTCTGTGCTGAAATTCTGAAGGTCTGGCACAGACAAGTCCCATAATGTTATTTGTCTATTCCAACTCGCAGACAACCTCGTACACCGTAACTGTTGTTTTTTAATTTTTGAATGAAGAAGGTTAGTTAATTGCTTCCTGGTAACAACTACTGAGGATGCCATTTTTCTACAAAACAAGAACCTGGAAATAACCCATCCATTTTCTCCCCTGACACTACTCCATCAATGACCTTGTTCCCACCAGGGAGGGTTACCATCAAGGAGAAAGCTATCTTTCTTGTTACGTACGCTGAGACTTTGATGTCTGGTATCTATTGATTATCTGCAACACTCAAAAAGGCAGTATTCGCTATGAACTCGCTGTGGCTACCTCACTACTGTGAATTGCATTGAACCATTTCACTACTTTTTGGGTAGTCTTCAAGAGCAGGTGCATGAAAAGGATTCAGATGACCTGTTACTGTTTTGTTGCCTGCCTTAAAAAAAACAAAACAAAACAAAAAAAACCCCACTAGTTATGGTGCTTGGGATCAAGGGGTGGTTTTTTGTTTGGTTTGATTTTTAATTGATCGCTAAATTGGTATTTCACACAGAAACAGAGAAGTTGCACATCTTGGAAATTTTTTCAGGTTGCTGAACCTCAGGGAAGACAGTTTGCCACAGATTACATTTATTCTGGCTGTAAAAGGAGCAAGAAATTAGGTGCCACAGTATTCTTCAAGTTGTCCAAGCACAGGAAAGCGGGTAAAAGAAATTTATAATCAGGAGTCATGTAATACAGAACTTGGTCATCTCACAGGAAACTTAAATAAAACACATTTCTAGCCAATGGGGCAACAGCTGCAGTGGAAAAAACTCAGAAAAAACTTCTTAGAAAAGATTAAGAAAAAATACACAGAGATATTGGACTCAAAGTCATTTTACCGACTACAGTGTCTGGGAGTGAAAAGTGAACAGTGCACGTATGTATTTGCAGTCTCTGATCGAGAGAGTCACGTCTCCTGATCACAGTTTGCTAAATGCCACCTGGACAGAAAGAGCCTTTTTTCACCCATTCCCTGACACGAGTCCAGCAGCAACATCCACTTCAACACACCTCACCTGACCATGCTGCTCCATTATTTCCTTCGTGCCAGAAAATGGGTTTTGCAGAGCTGAGCTGTGAACTGAATCAAGAAACATACCTGGCTGCAAAACAGCCAGGAGGAAAAGTATTCAGCTGGATTGGTTTTCGAATCCTGTTCATTGTGGTGCTGCACAACACAGCTGGCATGACAAATGAAGCACTGCAGGCCAGGAGCAGGCAAGCAAATCCTGTTGTAGAATGTTTAACCACTAGAGATGTAGAGAGAGAAGTAGATTTGTATGCTTCTGGTGGCAGTGAACTAAGAGAGATCTAACTTATCTGCTAAAAAAGATGATAAGACAAGGTGCTACTACTGGATCACAAAATGTAATAGATAAACTCCTGTTCAGGTTCATAACACAAACAAAACCTATTTAAATCAATAGTAGGTTTTCAAAATATATATTCTTTCAGCCTTCTTTAAGTTGAACTAGATAATACAGGTACACACATATGGTGGGTTGACCTTGGAGGCTGCCAGATGCCCACCCAGCCACTCTCTCACTCCCTCTCCTCAACTGGATGGGGATTGAAAATAAAATGAAAAGCCACATAGGTCAAGATAAAAATGAGATCACTTACCAATTACCATCACAGGCAAAGCAGACTCAACTTGGGGAAAATTTAATATATTCCCAATTAAAAAAAGTAGGATAGTGAGAAAAAAATACCCTAACACACCTTATCCCTATACTCCCTGTCTTCTTCATGGACTCAACTTCACTCCTCTCTTTCATTCTCATCTCCTTTATCTCTTTGCTTCTCCTCAGGGGAGACAGAATCAAAGGTTGGAAAAGACCCTTAAGATCGAGGTCAACCGTTAACCTAGTACTGAATAAAGACCACTAAACCATGTCCCTAAGTGCCACATCTACACATCTTTTAAATACCTCCAGGGATAATGACTCAACCACTTCCCAAGGCCTGACAACACTTTCCGCATCAGACAGGGAAGGGGGAGTTACAGCCCATCCATAACAGCTCCTCACACTTTTCCCCTGCCCCAGCATGGGCTCTCCATGGGCTACAGTCCTTCAGGAACACATTGCTCAAGCGTGGGCTCTCCATGGGCTGCAGTTTCCTTCAGGCCACATTACCAACTCCAGCAGGGTGTCCCCAACAGGCTGCAGTGTGCATTATCTGCTCCGCTGAGGTTCTCCACAGGCACAAGGGGACCACCTCCATCATTGTGGTCTCCACCTACTCACCAAAATTCAGTGCTGGGGACCTGATGTTGGCACTGCATACATTTGAGGGGAGGGAAGAAAACCTTATTTCTAGTATTTCAGACTAGCTCTGTTCTAGTCAAATGAATTGAATGCTCACAAGCACTGGGACCGCATCCTTGTTTAATTTCATCAAAAAGTAAACTAGTTTGCACACCCTAAAACCACCCCACGATGTACACAGATGCACTGTATGATGGAACAACCATGAGACTAGGTGATGTGTAGGCTCTGGAGCCAAACTGAAATCCTGGCCTAAATACAACCTGTATATGCCTCATAGAAGGTTTCTGCTCTTCGAAAGGAAGGCTGTTTAAGAAAGGTTGAGAAGCACAAACATTACAAAGTTTGTATTAGGAAAGAATGTCTTAATTCAACTACCGGAATACATTAAAGTGCAATAAAATCTTCAGAATTCAAACATCAGCCCTGAAGCTGGCCAGCTGTGAACCAGAAGAGCATTTTAGCTCTCTAAAATGAGATCATGTAAAAACTAAACCTCTAAATATTCTTTGAAA